CAGTTATCAGGACAGGCTGATTACGAGCACAGACTCATTTGCCTGAGATAATTGCCTCAATTCTCCACTTCACTCTGCACATATAGAAAGAGTCCCAATCTACTGCAGCCTCAGTGACTAGACATGTACAATTGGTCTAATCATAGTTTGAAGAGCTCAAGCTGAAAGAAGTCTATGAGCGTGAGCCTGAACCATGACACACTAAGGGCTTTCTTTCCCCTCTGAGATGGAGGCTCCCTCACTCCCTCCCCCAGGTCTGAAGGGTGAGTCACTACCTCAGGCAAGAAGAAAACAACTCCCAGGCTCTGTCCGTGCTGGTGGCTGAAGCTGGGGTGGGGGCGGGGCACCGAGAGACTCAGGAAAGTCAGACAAAGGCATAGCTGGGGGCCAAGGGCCTTCTGGACAGCCAGGTCCCTAGCAACCAGCAGTACTTCCACGGGAGACACTAGCTCCAGGCAGAAGTTGGGGCAGAAGACATCCAAGGCCAGAGGCATCTGGGGTAGTGACTTCTTACACACTGGAGAGGAGTGGGCTAGCTAACTACCTCCAGGCTGGGAAGCCTGGGGTTTTGCAGTATTAAAACAGGGCTCACAAGCTCCAGGGCCAAAATCCAAACAAGGAGGCTCCTTTTCAGAAGGGCTTGTACATGAGAGAAGGAGCTACTGGGCACTTTTCTGGCTTCTCAGTTTAGAAATCACTCATTCCACGGAAGATGGAAAGACAGAAGGAACTCGTGTGTGTGTGTGTGTGTGTGTGTGTGTGTGTGTGTGTGTGTGTGTGTGTATCTGTATAGAGTAGAGGGCAAGAAGGGGCAACTTTAAGCCTCCTCAGGGCTGATCCCACCTTCTTCCCCACAAGAGTAGTACAGATGAGCCCAACGATGGACAGGACAGAACCCTAAAGATGGCTATTTTTCCCCTGTTGTTTGCTTTTAGCTCTAGCTGGCCTTTCCCCCTAAACCACAAAAACCATTTCTACTGGTGAGAGCCAGTGAAGATCAGTGCAGCCAGAGTAATAGCAAAATAGCACCTTGGAGAGATGAACCAAATGTTCCCGAATTGTGCCTAGTCCCCTTAGAGAACAGGAGGGAGGGGCCATGCCAAATTCCCAGTGGGGGTGAGCCTTCCTGGCTGATTGCCACAGTGAGGGGTGGGGAGTACTTCAAAGTCCCTCAATTCATCTCTCTCCAAATGAAAGTTTGAAAAGCTCTCCATCTCCAAAAATAGTCCTTTCCAATAATTGTCCAAAAAACATGTTCAAGAGCGATTGTACCCGCTTGCTAGGCAGAACAGAACCCAGCCTCTATCTTAAGTCTCATGTTGGAAAATTTGCTGGTGTCTGTAGGACCTCTGACAATAGCCTGCAAGTCTTTGCAGACTCATGCAACTCATCTGTTGCCCAGAGCAACAAGCACATTGCTTTGGACACGGGAGCAGGTAGAATGGAAACAATCTTCTTATAAATTTGGAAAAAAAAAAAAAAACAAAACCCAAATCTCAAAGTTGGATTAGGTTTTAAAAGACAAATGGTCAACAACAACCAGCACTGGCCCCAGAAACTGGAAGAACTCTACCTGTGACTTCAAGTCTGGCTCTCAGCCTCCCTCCCCTGCTCATTTGCCAGGGTAGAAGTTGTTGCTCTGTGCCCACTGGTAGTCTGTTGTTACTAATGGGGGGCATCTCAAATTGATCTGCATGTTGCTGGGTAGCAGGGATTGTTCATCTGCATTTACTTCGATCTCCCCACAATGCCAGGAATAGCGTCTTGGTCATAGAAGTGACTCAATTCGTGATTGCTAAATAGCCAATTTCATTTGTAATTTCCGAGACAGCTCCAGGAGGGGAGGCAAAGAAGGCCAATGCAATTAATAGATGGACCTGACTAATGTGAATGTTGTAGAGCAAAGAACCTCAGAGCCCTGCCAATGTACACGAGCTCCAAGACAGGCCACTGGGTCCATTTGTGGTTACCTGGGTAGTCTCAAAGCTGTCACTCAAATATTCCTTTCTGTCACTGAGCTGCAGGCACCTTCAAAGTCTTCTGAAACAGAAGCAGAGTGAAAGGCTTGAGCACCCAACCCCTCTCCTACAGCGGCCCCCCTCCCCCAGGGGACAACATCTAAAGAAGGTTGCTGTCGACCTTCAGATTTAGCTCTAGCTAGCCCTAGCGGGTTCATGAGCACCATGGAAACATCTCCAGTATGTGGTCATTTGTCCTTTGACCTAGCACAGTTTCTGAGGAAGAGCACATTCCACTTCAGAGCCCTGATTGCTAGAATATTCCTCCATGGGCTGAAGCCTATCTGTAAACACCACCTACAGGTTCTCATTCTGCCCTCTGGAGCTATGTGAAATGATTCTAAACGTCTTCCACAGTACAGCCCTCCTCACAATACATCCAAATAAAGCCCCCTGTATTATACTGTAATGAACTGGAAACTGCTTTCCTGTCCAGCTGGTCTAGGAGCCCCCCTCTGGCAGAGCCTGAAGGTGATGTACGACCACACTTTATGTACCAGCAGACAGACAGAGCCCCTTGTTCCTTAGCCTTGTAACAACCGAGGTCGTTCATCACCCACTTGGTTCCTTTTGAAATTCACTCTGCAGCAAGCACTTTTTAAAGTCATGCACATAATGCATTTTAAAGAGCATTTTCTGTGCAGATCCATTTGCTCGACCTCGGCACTAAGTGCAAGATGGAACTGTCTTTCAGTGCAGCCCCGCTCCTCCTGGAGCCTATGCTGAACACACGCTGAAAGGAATTTGTAACTATACATATGACTGGGGCTTGAAAATGCAGTATTTTGTTAAATGTCCATTGGCTGATTAAAATGCATCTTGCAAAGAAAGAGCATTGCTAATGCAAAATCTTGGTCCAAAAAATATGTATTATGTAATGCATATTTTTTAATAATGCAGGCAATCTCAGTGTATTCGTATTAGTGAATCGGCTCTGGGCTGCCATCTCCGTTACAGGCATAAAGCATCCACCTGAAAAAATGAAGCACTTTCCTCCATCTACTGAAGAACTATAACCTACCTTACTGGTGACAGCTGGCATCAGTTTCCATCAAATGGGCATTTACCAGCACCCACACAACCCTGATTTCTCCCTCAATGTGCCCTAAAATCAGCTTGACCAATGTCTCTGTGCACCATATGCTGCTGGCAGAGCTGTGCTAATTGAAAAAAATGAGGTAGGTACGTGGAAGTGGTCAGATCCCTCAGACACCCCCCATCAAGCAGGGTAGAAAGAGGATCTGAGATCTCAAAACTAAGCAGCTCTGAGCAGGGTCTCCCAAGCAGTACCCCAGGAGTCAGCAGGGCACAGCTGGAACACAGCCCCTTTTTGTTTACGAGCTTTGCCAAACCAAGCCTGCTCTAGCAGAGCAGTTAGCCTTTTAGGGCCACACATGAGCTGCTGGACCACAAGATGCAGCAGACACAGCCAAGAGACAGACAAAATCCTCAACCCATCCAGAGTAGTGGCTAGGCTCTTGCTAAGCCCTTAACTCTGCATTTGGAAGCTTTAATGCAGCCTGGTGCTGAGGGTCTGAGGCTAAGTGATCTATGGACAGCACCCGTTTAGGACATGACTGAGAATCCCATCTCTAGGAAGGAACCCCAGGGGAGTAGGAGAGTTTGAAGAAGTGGCAGCACCTCTTCTTCCAGTTTCTTCACATGGACTCAAGAAAAAAAAAAAAAAAAAGCCCAACCTGTGACATGTGCGTTCCGTGTAAAATAACCCTGCTGGGTGGGACTTCCCGCATCCCAGGAACACAGCTCTGCTTGTCTCTGTGGGGGGGGGAGGCACTCCGCATTTAACAAACAAGCCAAGATAAATGCCCCCCCAACCACCTTGCATCCCCCCCAAGAGCAGCGGTCACACACAGGTGAGATCTGAGAACTTCCCACCACAGGGATCCATGATCCATCCCCTCCCAGACCTACCGTGTTCAGCAGGTTTTCCAGGGCTCAGAAGCAGGACTAGTTACCCCCGATTCCTCAGCTTTCTGAGTCCAATACCACGATCTAGTGGTCTCTGGCCGCCCCCTACCATGATGTTCTGGTTGATGCATCTGTTTTTCTCATGTAGAATTTGAGCTGCATGAAGTAACGATGCTGGAAGAATGAGTTGAAGCTCTGGTTAAGGTACATTGACCCCTCAATACTCTTTCTTTAATCCAAGACCTGCTCGGGCTCACTGCTGTCTTCAGCACCTAGAACAGAGCTCCGCCTGTGTCCGGACTCAAGAGTGTTGGTTGAACCCTCCCTCTCAGCTGAAATCTATCTATCTGTGCTCAGTGACTACCCCAAAAACCCACCCGCAGAGTATCAGCTCTAGAGCCTTTTCCTGGACACCCTCAGCTTCCTATGGTCTTCCAACACACCTCACTGGAATAGAGTCCACCATTTGTCAACCATCGCCTCGCAAACTCCTGTCTCTACAGCTGCGGGGGGCCTTTCCTGAGGGAAGGCTTGTTTGTCGACCCCGTGCACTTTTTCCGGAAGCTGTTCTAATTAGTTACTGTAACAAACCCTGACAAAATGAACCACCTTTGCCGCGGTTAACCGCTTCTTGAGGTTCCGATCCCGCAAACCATCAAGCCCTCAGAGAATGCCTAGTGCTGGGTCATTAATACTCATGTACGGACCCTCATTCCACTAAATATTTGCAATTTTGCGTTCTAGTTTTCAATTGTTCAAGGGCTATGCTCATGGAGAAGTTGAGGAGTGGGACAAACCCCGGGAGAAATCCACTTACCTTCCTTCTCGAGTCCGCTAACCTGTAGATATCTTGCTCCGCTTCGCTCGCTGGAACTCGCTAGCATCCTCCCACCCCCCCCCCCAACCCCCCCACCTCAACGCTTTGGCCAAATTGTCTCAAACAAGGTTCCCGCCTGCCACCTGCCGGCCCACTAGGGTCTGCACCATGGGCTATGCGCCACCGCGCAGCTAGCGGGGAGGCACCCCCACCTCTCTACTGCACATGCCCGGCAGAAGTCCGCGCAACTTTATAGAGCCTCACTGCCCCATCTCTCCTCAGTCTCCTCTGTCCTCTCCCAGACGAGAGGACCAGTGGAGGCACCTCTCGGAGTCTTAGACTTAAGAGTCTGAGACTTAGCGAGAGGAGCCCCAGAGGAGACAACCCTTCTCTCTCCTTTACCCATCCCTCTTTTTTACTTACAGACGCAAGCTGAGGCGCGGAGCTTTAGAAAGTTCTCAGTGGTCCTGAAGGTAGGTGAATTTCTTCTTTTCACCCCGAGGTGAGACTGGGGTCTCCAGACCCAGCTTCTCACCTCATAAGGTTCATCCTTTTCGGCTCCAGCAGTTCTTGCGCAGTGGGGCCACTCTCTGCAGAGCCAGAGGGTGAGTCGGCTTCCCGGTGAGCGCCTAGGAGAATGGATCGCAGGTCCCGGGCTCAGCAGTGGCGCCGAGCTCGCCATAATTACAACGACCTGTGCCCGCCCATAGGCCGCCGGGCTGCCACCGCGCTCCTCTGGCTCTCCTGCTCCATTGCTCTGCTCCGCGCCCTAGCCACTTCCAACGCCCGTGCCCAGCAGCGTGCTGCCCAGCGTCGGAGCTTCCTTAACGCCCACCACCGCTCCGCCGCTGCCGCCGCCGCCGCTGCGCAGGTACTCCCCGAGTCCCCTGAATCTGAGTCTGATCACGAGCACGAGGAGCCAGAGCCTCAGCTGGCCCGCCAGCCTGAGTGTCCCGGGTTGGAAGACATTGACTACGAGACCGAGTCGGAGACCGAGTCCGAGACGACCGAGTCCGAGACGACCGAGTCCGAGACGACCGAGTCCGAGACAACCGAGTCCGAGTCTGATATCGAGTACGAGACCGAATTCGAGAGCGAGTCTGATACCGCCCCCGCAACTGAGCCTGAGACCGAACCCGAGGACGAGCGCGGCCCCCGAGGTGCCACCTTCAACCAGTCTCTCACCCAGCGTCTGCACGCTCTGAAGTTGCAGAGCGCCCACGCCTCCCCGAGTCGTGCGCAGCCCACCACTCAGGAGCTCGAGAGCGCAAGCGAGGGGGAGGAGCCCCAGCGCGAGCCCTTAGACCCCGAGGAGTCAGAGGAGGAGGAGGAGGACAGACAGCCCCGCCGCTGCAAGACCAGGAGGCCCGCCCGCCTCCGCCGCCGCCGCGACCAGTCCCCGGAATCCCCTCCCAGAAAGGGGCCCATCCCCATCCGGCGTCACTAATGGGTGACTCCGTCCAGATTCTCCTGGTTTTCATGGATAAAGGTTAGTTGCCCTGACAAAACTGGGGACCCCGAGACAGTGAGGTGGGAGGAATTAGACAGGTGGGGGGAGAGGTGGGAAGGAAGCGCTGTCCACTAATCAGCCTAAAACGCACCCCAGGAAAGGAGAGAGGGCTCCTCAAATTTCTGCAGGGCACCCAGGGGCGCTCGGGAGGCCAAAGGTTTGTTGGACGGCGAGGCTCTCGTGGCACCTCGCTGGAGACAACCTGAGGTCCCCGGGCTAGCATCCGGTGCACGACACTGAATTCTGAGCGCGCCCCAGGTTTGGAGCCGCATACCTAAACGGCAACGGTAAGTCACTTGTTTTCTACGGTTCTTCCCCCCCCCTCCCGCCTAGAAAGATTAGTCTTCAACGCTGGAGTTGGCTTTGGCTAGAGCCTATCAGGCTCGGTGCGGAGGTGCGCGCGCCAACTTGGGCGATCTGAGAGCTGGGGCACGGTAGCTACACTGTTGCAATGCGCGGAAAGTAACTAACTGCGCTGGGATTGGGTGAGAACTGTGGAGCCTACAGCTCCAGAGCAAAGTCGCACGTGCGCTCAGCCGGCGCAGGGCCTGGAAATCGGGTCCCGGCATGGCCAATTTGGGGGCTGCGGGACCCTGGAGCCAGTGCCTCCCACGCCGCGCAAGCAGTCTTGGCCAACACCGCTCACCTCTGGAGGTTTGTGGAGGCCAGAGATCGTGAAAAGGAGCGCGCGCACCTCTCCCGTGCGCCCTAGCCAACCTTCCCGCACTGACAGGCGCTTTTTGCTAGTGAGTGGTGCTTGGAGGACACACAGTGAAGGTACAGGGACCTTTCCGGGTGCCCTTCTGGGCTAGCCGGGTTGGCAGCACAGGCAGCATCACATCAGGGTACAGCTAACCTTTTGGCGCCGCTGGTTGGGCGGATCCGACTTGTCTGGAGAGGTCCAGGGCTGTGCGCCTAGGCCCTAGAGGCAGGGAGGAAGGCATGAGAACCATACCAAGTGGTCTTGGGCAGAAAGATAAAGTGGATCAAGGCATAGGCTGAGTAAGGGGGGCGTGGATAGCACCTGGACACCTTCCAAGGCGTCCCCAAAGATCGTGGCACTTCCCGAGCTGGGAAGATGTCGGATCCTGCGCTTAGGACCGAGAGGGGGCAGGGAGGACACACTACAGCCATTTTGGCCATCTTCGGTTCGGGTGGGGCTGTATTTGGAATCCGTAACCTGAGGGGAGATCGCCGGTGATAGTCCCCAAACGGCCGCAAGCATGTAACACACCTTGGAATCCTTTCCTTTCCAACCTTAGGCGGAAATGCCGATAAAAAGTAAAACGCACCCATTTCACCCATTTGGAAACATTTTTTTTTTTTTTTTTAAAGTGCGCGCGTCTGGTCATGCGGCGGCTTGAGTTACTTTGATGGGATGATTAGGAAAATCTGGTTAAGGAATGCGTTTTCAAGGCTTGAAATCAAAGGCGGCTGGGCTCCTGCGGTCCTAAGGGGAGAATGGTGCTAGAAGGAACGCATTCCATAGTCTCCTTCCAGGACCTCTTCCCTGGGATGGCGTCGCAGTTCCCATAACTGAAGTGAGGGTGGGCTGTGCGCATTGCGGCTAATTGCGTCTTTGGTCCACATAGGGGAGCAGTTTGTTAGCAGTGGGTAGAGGATGCGCGGGTAGCCTGTGGAAAGGAAGTGGGGGCTTTTGGTCTGAAAGCGTTAAGTGGCCTAGGTAAAATACATCTTTCCGAAGTTAAAATTCTCGACAACATGAAACGATGATGGTGACGTTTTCTTGACGTTAGGTGCCATTTTATCTATGATGTATTGAGTTTCCCAAGCAACAGGTTTCTAGTTAACAGGTGGAGATGACGCGCTTTTCAGCGTGTTTTCTCCATCGGGAAGAAGTGTTTTCATCAGTTAGGTTCTTCATTAGCTAAATTAGAATACTGCCTTTATTGCTGGATGAATACAATTTTAAAAGGGTCTTCAGTCCCCAGTGCCCCCACCTCACCTACGTCGCTCCTTTAAAAAGAAGCCCAGAGCCAGGCTTGGTGGCGCATGCCTTTAATCACAGCACTGGGTGGGGGAGGGGTGTGTAGAGGCAGCTGGAACTCTGCCTTCAAGACCAGCCAGGTCTCCAGTTCTAGGACTGACAGGGCTGTTAAAACCGAGAAACCCTGTCTTTACACACACACACACACACACACACACACACACACACACACACACACACACACAAAACCCAAACAAACAAACAAAGCAAAACAAAAAACAAAACAACAACGAAGCCTGATTAGTATGCCAGGCTCTCACACGGGGCACCCAAATAGGAACGTGCATTTTGCTGTCTCTCAATAATCTTCCGCAGCAGACACGAGCCTGCTGCCGACCAGCACAGCCAACCCCCTCCCGAGTGTATCTCTGACTTCATGAGAAAAAGCCTAGAAGGTACACAGGAGTGTAGCACACATTCCAAGCCTACTTTCTGTGAGACAGATTCCAAACACTCACTGGGGTTCAGCTACTTTCTTTCCTTTTCTAGGGATTTTTTTTAGTAGGTTCCTAAACATTCCCAACTCCCTAGCCTCCCAAATGGCCCTTTGTCTCACACTGTTAAGCTGGGGTTAGCATTTGAATGGGCTGGCTTTCCCTTTAACAGAGGTAGAGTGGCTGACGGAGACACGCCCTGGGAAAACCAGACCCCGTAGACCCCTGCCATGGGTGTGGGTGTGGGGGGGCACATCGGCAGCAAAGCTAGTTAAAACTATGTGCCATAGCATTTAAGATTCTTCATTAATCATTTGCTTAACGGAAAAACTTTGCTTCTGTAAGGGGGAGGGTGTGCTGATCACTGAATTTAAGTTAATTTCTTTCATGTGGCAGAGTTCAAAGACCATGTGATGGCAAAACCCAGATGTAAGTATTTTTTTAGTTTACCAATAAAACTTATAGCTCTATTTATGAGAATTGGAAACTGAGATGCGGGATGTAAACTCTGAACAAACCTCTAAGGTTTTCTGTTGTTCCGTTTTAATGCACCTGAAGCCGAGGCTTCTTCTATATTGGAACTGTTTGCAACCTCTGACTCTTGAGCCTTCATTTTAGCAGCCGTACTCAATTAACAAGAAATTTGAAACATCAGTACTGGTTAAGAATAAAGTTCTAAAAAAAAAAAAAAAAAAAAGTATGGATTTTACTTAATTTCTCCCTGTTGTCACTAAGCAGTGACCACAGTACGGGGCATGCAGAGTGGCAACCTATCACAAACACAAATCATGAAAATCAAACCCAGCAGGGCCAGAGACCAGTGATGTCATATGTCAACTCCAATATTTCTCCCCTCTAAAATAATGCCCAGAAACAAGATGGGAAACTCAAGTTACACCTTTACTCCTGCCGCAGTGAGGGATGGAATGTCCTGCTGTGGCATTCATCAGCCTTGTATCCCAAACCCAGACAGCACAGCACAAAGGCAGAAGACACTGGGCTAGCCCAGACTGCCGCTACCCCACCCTGTTAACTGGCTTCAGTTTTCCCTAATGTCCCTCTGCTTCAGTTTCTTCTAAAATGCACTAGCTGAACAAAATGACTATGGCTTGAGGAATGTAAACCAGTGACTTTAGCCCTAATGAAGTCCCAAGTCTCAAATGGTGATTAACTAAAAAACACCAGCTGTGAAGAAGTCTGTTTTGTGTTGGTCTAATAAATCAGTTTTATCAAATATGCTTTTCAGCTCATGGCAAAAATATTTAAGAGGGCAGGTAGAGAATGTAGGATTCATTGTGTTGGGGGGGTGCATTCTTAAGAGCACCCATCAATGTTGGGAGTGGTGGTGGCTTTCTTTTTCCTGCAGTCTCTCCTTGTTTTTAGTGTCTAGAAGGAACCTTCCAGAACCTGGTATGGCACAAACCCATGGGGGACACTAGCTATAAAGTATGGGAGACAGCGACAGACAAGTGTAGTTAAAGTGACAACAGCCCAGAGGCTCTGATTAGGGACAGGCCAAGTCTTTCACTTACTTTTCATTATCTCCCTCCCAAGGGCTTTTCTCCAGCCATTTCTTTAGTGGTTCCTGCCTCCACAAAATTTCAGTATTACGTCATCTTTTATATGTTGCAAGGTCTGGTAATAGCTAAGTTCACACACACACCACGTAGACAAATACACACATAGACACACACAAACACTCATGCACATACACATGCCAAATTTGGCTCTATTGCCTGGGGCAAACAAAGCAAACACTTCTCCCCAAAATGCAAATGAAGTGACTGACTTACTATACTATCACAGTTTATTTTATGTTTTGGTCCCTTTTCAGACATTTTTAAAAAATTGGTCAAATATTACTAGTGTTTTTCTCAAAATCTCCTTGATAAGGAGCCCCCTCCCCCACAACCAGGAGGCAGGACAGTTCACATGGCCGGGGAGCCAGAGTAAATGACCTAGTGACTTGGATCTCCCAAGCCCAAGAGTGCCTTGTAGAGCCACACAGTGCTCAGCCCAGCAGAAGCAGGGCACCCTAGGGCACTGGCAGCTTGGCACCTCTACTGCAAACTATTCTGCGTGGAGCCAGGAGGCTGTCTGCCCTGCTCCAAGTGTGGGCACAGCCTGTATGTTTTTTCCTACGGACCTATTTTTGGGTGAGCACATGACACATTAGCCAGGTGATGTAGCTGCCCCAGGGTTAATTCAAGCTATAACACAGGATAGCTGGAGGCAGCAATTTGGGGCAAATTTGAGGATGACAAAAAGTGTGGTGAGATTACAGGGAGTAAAGACCAGTTCTGAGGCACCCAGGCGGAGCTCCAGAAGAGGTGTAGAAAAGGAGGGAGATTACAAGCCAGGAAATTTATGGCTATGCAAAAGTATTTTGCAAAGATAAGGAAGAACAAGGTTGAAGACAGTCAGATATGGCTGGCTGCAAGTCTCTGGCAACTGAAGGGGGTTAAAACCAGGTGCAACAAGGAGCAGGTGTCACCCCTAATAGCCCCAAATGGCCACCAACGAGAGTTTCAGTCAGTCACCCTGAAGTCACTGTCCCCTGACAGTCTCACAGACCTAGCATAGGAATTTCAGTTTCATCTACAAAATGGAGTTTTCATACAAATGCCTCAAATTCATCAACCAGAAAAACTTAAAAGCCAGTAATCTTGTTTAACAATTTAAAATCTAAGCATTGGGTTTGACTCTAGAAAGACCAGCTTCTTTCTGAGCCTCCCACTCAGACTTGTGAGTGTAGACCCAAAGACTGATGGTCTGCCGCAGCTGGCAGGTTTCCCTTCCCCCAGGCCAGAGCTGTCTGAGTGTCCTGGCTTATGTTGCTGCTCCAATTAGACTTTGTTAGGAAAATCTGCTTTGGGTAATTGAGGTTGTGTGAGAAGGTGAAATACACCATTCCCCTTAAATTCAAATAGCATTCAGGCCCCAGAAGCCCTCGGGGTGCCTGGAATTTCCACCAAGAGTTACAGAAATCTTAAATAGCCTTTCCACTAAACCCACCTTCCGGGATCCCCCCCCCCCCACTCCTTCTACCCCACCCCCATCCCCTACTCCTTCCACCCCACCCCCATTCCCCCTGCTAGCAGCCTTCCCCTGGCGCCTTCTCTTGTTCGCATTCTCTCATTCGGCATAGGTACTTCTCCCTTAATGGCCTCTGTAGCATCCTCAGCTGTTCTGCACAAAGAAACCACAAAGCGCCATGTGGACACCCTGTGCGGACGCAAGTAGCAGGAGCATGACAGGCTAAGGCACAATTTGGTGACCCTTCCACAAAGAAGGTTGCTGTGACTGAACCATTGCTAACAACCCTAAATGAGGGGCCTGAATTCTTATGAGGGCTTTTCATCCAGAGCTGATGGGCTGTATTAATAAACATCATCTCATCCCCCTAACAGCCACCCTACATCAGTCCCTAGTCCAATATCTTGCCCTATCTGTTAAAGGCATCTTTCCTTTAATTAGCATTTGCCTGAAACAGTCCAGCCACACAGCCCCTTCTGCAGACAGCAGTAAGCTGCTTGCTGCTGCCTCCATCGGCCAATGCTGGTGGAGGTGCTGGCAGGGGAAGGGGGGCTGCAGCAGTCTTAATTGAACAGTAATTAATTGAACAGCTTCTAAGTCTTATTGCTACTCAGAGAAGCACACAGAAAACCTCTGTCGCTGGGAAGCTTAGAAACGTAGTGGTCGCCTGCACTCTTTTTTTTATTTTCCCTTTTGTGTGTCAGTCTCCTTTACCTGAAAACCAATGGCACAAATATGAACTATGCGCAGAGAAGGCTCCCCTCCAGGCTGTGCCTTCCCCAAAGCCACAAACCAAAAGGAACCCTACTACCAATAGGCTTGCTTTTCCTGGCTCCTGCTCCCTTCCCTCTTGTTCACTCTACCCTCTCTTCCTCGCAAGGGGCATTTTGTACTTGGCTTTCTTTTGTGGCTACAGGGAAGCATCAAGAAAGTTGGAAGCAGCTACTTGATATCTGGATGGGCCTTGGGCTTTTGGCAGTTAAAAAAAAAATCCTAAAACATAAGTATAAATATACTTGCTGATCACAAACGAACACCAGGAGCCTAGGTTTTAAAAGCCTGGGGTGTCACGGAAAAGGGGGACCACACGTTTTCAGGTGTTAATGAAGCTGAGGGAGTTTCAGTTGGCATTACTTTCAAAAGGACATCCGATTCTCACTTGAGCATCTGGGCCAGCTGCACGAGCAGGCTGGCTTTCCTCGGAGCCTAATGGAAGCATGAACAATACTTACATTCTTTTCTCGTACAGCCAATGCTGCTCCCCAGCTGACGCACTGTCTCCCTATAGCCTTTCACTCTGGCACATTCCTCATGTGAATGAAGTCAAGACCCTGAGCTTGGCTTCTGTCCTTCACACCTATTTGCCCTTCTTCGGGCACTCACGCGCGTGACTTCCTCTTCCATTGCTTCATGACTGGAGTCAGCTTGCACTCTTTGTTTTTACTCACACCTCTAAACATTTACCTCCCCCCCTATTACAAAGTCAACCGGAACAGGGAAGGTATCTGAACATCCTTTGCTAGGGACCTGGTGATATGGTTAAGCAGACAAAGGTGTTTGATTCATGGAACCCACGTGGTGGACAAAACCAGGCCCTGCTGAGCACATGCGCGCGCACAAGCGTGTCCATACACAAAAGGGAAGAGAAAAAGATCCCCTGCTAGCGTACAGTTATAATGGAGACCATTAAAAAACCCTCATTCCTGGTAAGGGTGAGGCCCTGGTCAGGTGGTCACCAACAACCGAAGTCGATTCTTCCCACCCGCGTCAGGCGCACATTTCTGTATCAAGCCAGTAAAATCACCAGCCCTCACGGGCTCACTACACAGCCCAGTCCAGCGAGGTGACCCCCAGTCAACCTGCATGCTGATCACCTCCAGCTCTTACCACTCTGGGTTCCCCAAGTCCTTTGGCCAGGCCATCCAGTTATCTTTTGTGCTGCTCAGCGTCTCAAACGCCTGGCTCCCCTGCAGGGCCTTCTCGAGCCAGGGATACAACGGAGCCATAGCCCTTAGTTCCTTGCTCAGTCACTACAGGAAAATGAGAGCAGGGTGGGGGGCGATTAGAATTAAGTAGAATTAAGCACTGAGCTGTTTTTCCTAGTATAAATTTACCTTTAAATTAAAGTGGTTTTTAGTCAAGTGTAAGGATTTTTTCTCAGTTTTTTTTTTTCAACTAGGGGTGATTTTGCAACCCAGAAGATATTTGGACAAAATATGAGGACATTTTTTATTATGGCTACTATGCAGAAGCTAGTGCTATCTAGCAGGTACAGACTAAGGACGTCATTTAATATCCTGCCACGCATAGGGCATTCACCACAGCAGAGAATTACCCCAACTTGAGTCACTAGTTCAGAGGCTGAGAAGCCAGGGTGCTGGCAGGAGCTGCTCCCCAATTTGCCCCCTGGAGCATTTGCCCCCTGCTCTCCCTCCAACTTCTCACATCAAATATATCCCTTCCCTGGAGAATTTTTATCTCATTCGACGATGATCTCAAATCTAGTAAAGATTGATTGCCAATTTGAATTTATGCTTTCTACCCTTCTAAACTTCAGACCTTTCCTTCCCAGAAATAGGTTGTAAAAATCTCCCTCAAACCGTCCATCTTCCGTTCACATCTGCCATGTTGAAATCAAGCACACAGCCTCCACACCAGCCCCTCCCTGACTCCCTATGCAGTTCCCAGTGTCCACAACCAGGTCCTGGTCTTGGACTCTTCCGCCTTTTGTGACCCATCTGACATAGGAGCTTCCAGGAGGCCCCGGGAACCCCTCCTGATTCTCTTTGTCATTGTGTCTGAGTCTCTCCTTAAGGGACTTCCGCAGTTGCAGCCCTTTGTGTACACCCCGCCCCCCTTCTTTGTTCCTTTCGTCGGAACCAACCTCCATGTTGATTCTGCCTTTTCCAATACTTGACTCAAATCCTCATCTGCAAAGGGGCGGAAAACACACCTTTTACCATCTAATCCATTTCCTCCTCTTCACTTCCTGCCAAAATAGCCCGGATGCTCCATGGACTCCAAAGAAAGCCCATCCATTTTCCCCCCCTTTTCTCACTGCTTCTACAGGAGCAAAGGTATCCGATCGTTTACGCAACTAGGCCCCACATTTCCTTTTGTTGGACTCTTTGTTCCAGATAGGTGAAGGTGTGCCCGCCCCGCCCCGCCCCTACTGTTCATAGTCAAGACATCTTTCTATGGAGAACCATTCGAGGCGCCATTTTCTCCATTCGGTCTTTCCAACCCCTCCTATTGGAGGGCTTCTCTTTCAATTTTCATGCCGTTTTGCTCCTTCGCAAGGAGATTGGCATGATCTGGATCTTTCTCCCAGTCAGAGAAGCATGATATAAGAAAGAATGTGGAACAAAGGATTCCCACAGATCCTAAGAATGTCTGAACAAAGAGAACCTGAACCCATTTTTCGATGAATGGTGCTTTGGGGTTGGGTGTGAGAGGCCTGGGGAGCACAAGAAATCCGCGTGGCGGTCTCCTTGGGTCTCCAACCTCAGCGTCTACTGACCTTCCACCTTGTGCAGGGTTCAGCATCCCTGGGAAATGAACTCTGTCCATCTTGTCCTGCTCGTCTCTCTCCCTCCAGGGGCCTGGATCACCACCTTCAGGCCCTGGAAATGCCTCTTCACGGTGCCTCAGCGTTAGCCCGCTCTGTGAAGTGTGTTAGCCCACCGCCATCATGAGCCCAAGGGATGGTCCATGGGAGACCCCGACCTTCCCACTTGGCCTTGGCGATTGAGGGCATCAAAAAGATTAACCCTCAAGGCACTCACGGCGATCGTGGCCTTCTAGGCCTGGCCGCCATACACCCGCCCGCCAACCGCTTCCCACCAACCCAGCAAGCACAACCTCTTTGGGCGTTCCAACGCGGCGCCCCCTTTTGGACCTCCCACCCATATCCGGTTTCCGGTCTGAAGCCCCCTGCTCATTCGCCAAGAATCCATGATTGGCGTGACCCCAGCCCAATAGCTGACCTGGCGCTGGGGTCGGAGGGGAGTGGGTTGGTGGTTGAGACCCAGTTGGACCATTCAGTGTGTGTTCAAATTGTTTCGCCATTTTGCGTGGGGGGTAGTTGACCGAACTTTGGACCAAAGTTCAAAGTGTTCGGCATGAAGTGTGTCGAACCGTGTCGAACCGTGGAGCTGAGGTAACACGCCTTCGGGAGGTCCCAGGAATTTCTAGGGGTCCACTTTGTCTGCTTTCCTATACTCGGGGCGACCACGTGGATGATGTAGGCAGGGGTCTGTAATGTGCTCAGCCTGCAGTGAGAAGAGGGATATGTTAGACTTCGGATAATTAGAGCTTGCCGCGGTGCACCCGCATGTGTCTTGCAATACAGCCATCTACATGATTGCAGCAATCCACCCCGTGTACCACTCCACACTCTGTCTCTTCCCCCAGGGTCCTGCAGGCCAGACAAACACCTGCCCACTGCCTAGCTGCACTGCAACAAAAGAGTATGTCTCGCGCCATAACCGCGGTGCGCATGCCGTTTACAGGCTCTGATCTAAGAGCGGCAAAAAAAAAAAAAAAAAAAAAAATCCAAAACAACAACAGCAAAATGAATCTGCCCCTGCCTAGACCCCATCCCTACGGCATTTTGTGTTTAATTCACTGAGCCCACCGGACAATGCGGCTGTTTACCTCTTGCGGCTCTGAGCCCACCGCGGCACCGCAAGGGGCGTGCAGCCTGTGCTTAATGCCGCTTGGGTAGACTGTTGCAATTCAAAGTGCATCATCTGCTCTACGGTACTCACACCAGAAGGAGAGGGACTGGCATGGGGGCTGACAAGGAGTTGGAGAGGGGCTAGATGAACTGAACACCGAATCGGCAGCAGCTTCCAGAGGCCGGAAGCCGCGAGTCTCGGTGGCTGTTACTGCCGCGGCACGGTTGGTTGGTGGGTTAGTGCGAATCGGATTGTCTAGTCTTTAAGACCACTCTAAATCGGCCACCAACCACATCCCAAATCGCCTTTTACCCTTCCCCAGAAGGCAGAAGTCCGAGGCCTGCTCTAGGTAGGGGGTCTTCCGGTAAGCCCCACACCCCCTCCCCTATCTGCGCGGCCGCCGCAGCGGCATCCACAGTACCGCGTAAGGGTCTTTGCTTGATTTTTTTCCGCAGTGCACCGCCGAGACCCTTATTTCTACTGCGTCACCATCCACATAAACAAAACGAGCCTTGACTGCGTCACGCTAAATCGCTACTCAGAACCCCCATCCCGAAGTGTAATGGGGAAGGGGGACGTTGAAGGGATTTACCAGAGCTATCCTCCACAAACAGCAAACAAAATAAATAAATAAATAAATAAATAAAACTGCCCCGGAGCATTTTAAAAAACAAATTGTGTGTTCGCATTTGGGAGCTTCTCATCCTTCGCCACCTCGCCGCCTTTCCGGTGGGCTCACGACCACCTGTCGCATTTGTATGCACGCGCCTCTACCCCTTCGCATGTATCTTAAAGGCTCCTTTTCACGACTTGGAGCTGAATATGGGTAATTGCCCGAGTCTGGGGTCTTCAGATAAGGAGTTTGCCGCATACTGGGGTAATCTGGGGTGATGGAGCCCTCCTGCAGTCCCTCCTCCCCTCGCGAAGAATCAGATGGGGCGGGAGGGTTTCTGCTCCTGTACTCAGACAGACCAATGCCCACGTCTTACGTCACGTGTCCCAGCAACGCGCGCACGGGGAGCGCGCGCTCGCACTGGCCAAGAGAAAAGCGAGCAAGAGAGACTCAGAATCAGTCCGGGAGAGGAGAGGAAGGAGGAAGGAGCTGAGCGTCCCTACGAGGCCTGCGCTCATCAGCCCCCTTACCCAAAGTCGGGAACGGCCGGCACTGGGAGCCAGCTCCCGGAGCCGGCTCAGTACTGAGACCGGCGTCCTCTGGCGGCAGAGAAACAGTTTTGCTTACGATTTTCGAGACGAATCGGCACGCTCCTAATTGCCAAGAAGGCGGGGCTAAACTATAAAAAAGTACGAAGAAGAAAGAGAAAAGTCCTTCGTGTGACTGGCCGACCACAGCCCGAATGGGTAAGGGTGACTAGGAAGGCTCCAGACTCTTATCAGCAAGAAATGAGCTGCTTCAGCCATGATTTTGCACTTTAGCCCCTGAGCATCCGTCCTTACAACGGTTGGAAACTGAGGCTGCAAAACTTTCCAGCCTATACTTGAATACTTAAAAAAAAATTTTTTTTTCACCCTAGTTTGGCTGGGTGCTCCGTCTTACGGGGCCCCAAATTTATTTTGAAAAACCGCCACCGTGTTATGGGCATGCGCAACTGCCTCCACGGCAACAATATGCCAGGACAACCAAATATCCCCGCTGAAGTCGGCGAACAGCCCGAGCAAGAACCTTTGGAGGCCCCAGGGGCAGCTGCCCCCGGTGCTGGGCCTGGCCCAGCCGAAGAAATGGAGACCGAACCGACTGACAATGAGCCCATCCCCGACGAGACTGGCGATGAGGTCTGTGGACCCCCTGAAGTCTCCAGATCTGATGTCCAGGGCCTCCGCCAGGCCGTCGAGGAAGTCCGAGTGGGTGGAGACTACAGCCCACCTCCGGAGGAAGCCATGCCATTTGAGACCACACAGCCCAACCTCGGAGATTTCTGGCCCATCCTGGAGCAGTCTGGAACATCTGGGACCCAAGCAGCCCTCAAAACCTTCAACCCAGCGCTTTTGGAGCCCGGGACCCCCAGTGGTGCGAGCCCAGGCCTGGGAACCTACAGCCCCCCACCAGAAGAAGCTATGCCATTTGAGTTCAACGAACCTGCCCAGGAAGGTGGTAGCCAGTCGCCCTTGCAATTCCCGATCCTTGCTCCAGGAGGTCCGGAAGCAGAAGTCCTCAGAGCGCTTCCCGCGGAGCCCGGGAACTTCAGATTTGCAAATGCTGGCTTCCGAGATGACTACGGCCCTCCACCTGAAGAGTCCGTGCCATTTGGGCTCGATGGAGAAGAATTTGGGGGCGATAGCCCACCCCCAGGGCTCCCCCGAGTCATGCGACAAATCGGCATTGGCGGCGAGTTCCCGTCAGTCGCGGTCCCGAGTGCGCTCAGCCTCGCTCCCGGCGAGAACGCGCCTCCCCTCTTGGTCCACAGCGCCATTGACAGACCGTTCAGCGAGGCTATCAGATCTCCTCCCAACTTCGCATGCGACACCCCCCCGATGGAGATCTCCAGACCCCTGCTTGAGATTGGCAGAGCCTCCGCTGGGGTCGACGACGACACCACTGTCAATATGGACGGCCCCCCCAATCGCAAGTGATGGCCCGCCCATCGAAGTCTCCGGAGCCCCAGATAAGAGCGAGCACGCAGAGAGACCCCCAGTTGAGCGAGAAGCAGCCGAGATGGAAGGAAGCCCTACCACCGCAGCTGCGGTGGAAGGAGAAGTCCCTTCTCCGGAGAGAAGAGACGGATCCTTCACCCAGCCAGAAGCCATGGATCCCAGCCCAGTACCTGATGCCCGAGCCGTCGTCACCGAACCTGACGCAGCCACCAGCGGATCTCCTCCGGCCACAGCAACACCCGCGGATCTCCAAGCCGATCCTGAAGAACTCGGAGAAGCCTCTGCTGTCCGCGCAGATCCTGACGGAGGGGCAGCCCCAGTCGCCCCAACCACCCCTGCCGAGTCTGAAGGCGGCGGAGAGCCAGCCGCGGAGCCAGCCGTGGAGCCAGCCGCGGAGCCAGCCGTGGAGCCAGCCGTGGAGCCAGCCGTGGAGCCAGCAGGCGAGCCAGTCTCCGAGGCAGTCCCTGCCGCCAAGGCCGAGTCTGCCTCCGGGGCAGCCCCCGACATCCAGGTGGAGCCCGCAGTCGCGGCAGTCTCTGCCACCTCGGCGGAGCCTGCCGCCCGGGCAGTCCCCGTTACCCCTCCGGAGCCCGCTCCCCGGCCAATCCCCACTGCCAGAGCTCACCCAGCTGCGGGGGCAGTCCCTGGCGCCCCAGCGATGTCATCCTCCGCTAGGGCAGCTGCCGCTAGGGCAGCCTATGCAGGTCCTCTGGTCTGGGGAGCCAGGTCACTCTCGGCTACTCCCGCGGCCCGGGCATGCCTCCCTGCCCGCGCAGCTGCCGCCGCCCGGGCAGCCTCCGCTGCCCGGGCAGTTGCTGCCGGCCACTCGATCGCTGAAGCCCGGGCCATGTCTATCCGGGGATTCCCTCCTGCCCCAAGCAGAGCCCATCTTAGACCCCCCAGCCCCGAGATCCAGGTGGCTGACCCGCCTACTCCGCGGCCTGGTCCGAGGCCGGCTGCCTGGCCCGACAAGTATGAGCGTGGCCGAAGCGGCTTCAGGTACGAGGAGGCGTCGTCCGTCATCTGTGAGATCGACTCCTCTAGTGATGAGTCGGAAGAAGGGGCCAACGGCTGCTTCCAGTGGCTTCTGCGGCGAAACCGCCGCCCCGGCCAGCTCCGGCGCCACTCGGTCGGGTGCAACCCAGTCCGCAACTTCTTCATCCGAACCTTCGGAAGCTGCTTCGGTCTATCCGAGAGATCCCGTTCCCTCAGCCCCGGGAAGGTCAAGGATCCTTTCGAGGAGAGGCGCAAACAGATGCGCAAAGAAGCCATTGAGATGCGAGAGCGGATGCGCGCAGACAAGAAACGCAGCAAGGCCATCGACAAGCAACTGGAGGAGGAGAAGATGGACTACATGTGTACGCACCGCTTGCTGCTTCTAGGTAATGCGGCAGCTTCTGCCACTGGGCAGTAGGGCCGCCCCGGGCACCCGGGGAGGGGGTGGCAGGGCCTTCCGGTGGGGCTTGGGCCTTGACCACGGGAGGAGGGGTCCGGAAACCCTGTTAGAAGTTCCAGGGAGGGACCCCAACTCTGCCCGGGGGGGGGGGAAGAGGGGATTTTTGGAGGGTTCGGGTGGCCGAAGTATATGCCCTCCAGGGAGAAAAGTGGTGCCGAGCCACACTGAGGGTCGTTACCGGCCGGAGGCCAGCGCCAGCGCCAGCGGTCGTAGGCTGGACAGGCGGGGGCGTGAGGTGAGCCAGGAACTGCTGGGGAGGGCCCTTCGGGGCTCCCCCGGCTCGATTGTTCGTGACCGCGGTGGGCTAGGGCCATCGGGGGTGCGCGCCCCCGCCTCGCCTGGCACGGCTGCTTCGACTCAGACAGCTTGTTGTTAGTGTGTGTTGGTGTCCATTTTCTGTGTTCGCCTGTGCATGACATGCTCAGTGTGTCCCAGTTTCCATCCCTGGCACCTTCAATGTACCCGCCGATTGTGTATTTGTACTCTGAAATGGGCTGTCTTGTGATTTGCGCCATGGCGCGAGCAAAACTTTCCGTATTGGCACACTCAGTGGTACCTGTGCGTGGACTCTCTGCATCTAGCAGAGGGAAAAACGCGCAGGGAAAGGTGGTGGGGCATCCTGGGTAATCTGCTGGGCCGCTGGCCCGGGGGAGTGGGGCCGCAGCCGCGGGCCTCCATAACCTTTTTCCCCTGTATGTTTTTCTCTCTTTTTTCCTTTGCGCTAAGCATTTCCTCACTTCTCAATACGTACGTCAAACCCTCCCGCCTTAACGGTTGAAAAACCAGACACTCAGGTATCTGGGGCTTTGGGGTTATTCATAACATCTGTATCTTGTATTCTGCACACACACACACACACACACACACACACACACACACACACACACACACACACACACACTGGGCCAACCTGGGGGAAAGGACAGGGGGGAGGAGGAGGGAGGGAGACACTTTAGCCCTGTTGGCAAGGCCACATTGTAAACACACGGGGTTGATTTCAAGGGGGTGGGCGTGGCTGGGTTTAAAAAATATATGAAATAATTTTCTTCTTAGCGAAGAGCCAGAGGTAAGCCAATCACTTACATTTTTACAGCCTATGGTAGGAGGGGCCTGGTTTTAAAAGGTTGGGAGTTGTGTTGGGAGTGCAATGTTGCCTTTGTATTTTAATTGCAATTAAAATAAACAAAATAAATAATCTGAGTGCATACTGAATGTGTGGACAATGCATGGGAACCTGGAAATATTACTTGTGAGCTGTGTAAATGTTCACATGTGAATCTTTTTCAAGCAGCTTTAGCTGAGGGACAGAGGATGGAAGGTAAGATCTTCTCTAAATCAGTTTGGGGTTAAAAAAATAAAGATTTTAGGATGAAGATTAAACAAACGTTATGCCAGCCAGATGGGTGCCTTTGGAAGCCCTCATCTCCCCCCCAATCTGTTCAACTCGCTCCCCTGCTCTCCATGTCCCCTCCTCTCACCAAGACCCCTCCCCTCATTCCACAGCCAGAGTCCCTCCTCCCTCCAGACTTCTCATCTCCAACCTGAGGCATTCATTCTTCTTGCCAGATTAATCAAAACAGCAATTAACAATGGTCTGGATCTGTGGCTTAAATAAAATCTTCACGAGTGAATCTCTACGATTATTTTATTTTATTCTCTAAGACCTGTCAAGGGATCTCAGGATCACAGTTTTTGAGGCTGTGCTACATTTGTCTATTAAATATTTGATAATCTGTGACCGTGTTTATTAAAGACATTGATGATGTGACTGTGATGTTGTGATGTGCCTCCCAAAAATCATGATTTTAGATGGGATGGTCATTTTGTTTATGCCTACCTGGGGAAATACTGGTATCATTCAATCAAACACACGAAAAGGGGAAGTAGGTTTCAATTTCAAATGTCCCTGTTACATGAAAAGTATAGTACCTTACATGACAGAGTTCTGGTCTCATTGAAGGCTCATTTCCATACTTTAGGAAGCTGACCTGTGAGGGGGTGGGGGGAGACAAATGTCTGCAGATAGAAGGCTGTGCATTTCTGAATACAGTATGCCTTAACATCCTGGGGCCTCCGTTGCCTCGTTTGAGAAACAAAGCTTTCCTAAGAAATTTTCATTAAAGTGCCCTCCAGCACCAGAATGTGGGTCTTCTGTCTAGCCCCCACCCCAATGCATGGAGAAGGGATGGAAGCTTATACTATCCATTAATGCAGTTCTCTGCACCAACCCCATGTCTGGGGCCAGGTTTTTTCAGAATAGTAGAAGTTTCCCTTGCTTCCCTTAGATTTTTTTTTTCTAGAGGGGATAATTAAACCAAAACAGAAGCACATTTGTTGGGGTACCTCGGTACTGCCCTGCCTGCGCTTTGTGGGTATCAGCCATTATATATTTTTTTGGATGCAGCATCATCCAGAGCTGGCCAGGCTGCTCAGCCTTGGCCTAGGCCTCGTCTGAGTCTGAACTAAGACGGCCAACGCTCCCTGCTTCGGGAGACTGCAGCAGTTCTGTGTGTCAAAGCAGGCTGCAGTCCCCTCCAGGCTGGTGTCACTTTGCTAAAGTGACAAGACAGGGACTGTGTCCTGGTCCCTGTGACTGATTGGGGAAGGGGAGAAATAGAAGGGAAGGGTTTATTCACATTTACAAGACTTTTTTCTAACTCTCTAGCTCCACCGTGTTAAATAAGGCATCCGTGCCTTGCAGCCCCTGAAAATACAGATCAAATGACCATCCTAAAGCATGCCTCTTCACCTATCACACGTAGGTTCATCTGTTGCTTAAAAAAAAAAAAAAAGAAAAAGAAAAAAAAGTGCTTTTCTGTGTGCATATTTTGTTTTTATTGCCCAAATATCATATTGCTAGAGTTATCTTTTTAAAGATAGATGATAGATAGAAAAATAAAAGTAATTTAATAAAAATTCTATAATGTCTGGAGAGCTGAGTTTTTTTTAAAGTAACCTAATCACAGACTGTTTCCATGTTTCTGTTAGTTTAAAATAATTTTGTAGGTTAGACCTTTTTTCTTTCTTTTTAAAACCTCATTTAATTATTATTCCTTGAGTTGCAACGGGGCTACTGAATGAGAAATTTTTAGTATCTCCTGCCTTTATTACAATTGTGTAGGTAAACACTATACATAATATAATCACTCTGTAGTGATACCTTATTTATATAGTGAATCACAATTAATTGTATAATAATTTATTTGGCTGCCAAGTGGTAGAATACTGCACTGCATCTCAGCATGTGAAATGCTTTTTTTTAAAAAAAAATGCAGCCATTTTTTTCTAAATTCAGTATGCTTCCACTGAACTCTTTGCCGTGGGAAGAGCATAGTTTATTGCCCCCCTCCCAATTTTTTACTTTTTTTTTTTTTTTTTTTTTTTTGCCTTTCCCTGCCTCCCAGTAACATACATATTTTGCAGAGGCCCTTTAAGAAATTTCTATTTCTCTCAAAAACATTTTTTTCCCTAAATGGGTAATTTTATTTTTAACTTGCTCATACGATTTATCATGAAAAGATGGTATGAAGTATAGAGAACTGGGACCATCTCCTACCTATGTGTCCCTTCCTGACTTGAAAAGGGTAGGGGAAATCTCAATGATCTCAACATCATTAGTGGCCAGTGATGATGATGGAGACATGCTCTAATTACATTTTGCATTTTTAAAAGTATTCTGTCTAGTCATATTAATGCTTTGCAACAGTTCTGGGCAATAAAAACACTACAGCAACCCATTTCATAAGCATATCCATTCAACCCACAGGGATTAAATGTTAGGGGCTTTTTTTTTTTTTTTTTTTTTTTTCCTACCAAAGGTTGCAAGGTGAGTATGTGAAGGACTCAGGCCTCTAGTTCTGAGGTGCTACCTCTTACCAAGCCCATCAAAAGCTTCTACATGGTTTCCTCAAAACTGAGGGCATGACTATTGTGAGCACTCCATGTGATCTTCAAATCCCTTGTTTAATGACAGGTGTCTAACGGCCTGCTGCTTTCTGAATTCTAGCCAGGCCCTGGCAGATCACTGACTGTAACTGCCTACCGAGTGAGCATGAAATGGATGCTCTCCATTTAAGGGAGCCATTGCTGTGGAGGGTTAATACTCACATTTGCTTCATCTTACCCCCCCCCAAAAAAAAAACTAGAATGCTTTTTTTCCCCTTTCTTTTTTGTTAATAATGTAGGTTTTCCTTTATATATCTTTTCTGAGAAAAATCTCCCAATAGTTTTCTTTAGCAGGGTTCAAGCTTATAACAACATCAACATTAGTAACAACAACAGCAATTATCATTAATTAATAACGATATACTTATTAATCATTATTTAATATTAATAATATTGTTATTAATTAATAATAACAATGTGATGCCCTTGCTTTCATATATACATTTCTGAAAGGGCAATGCTACATTATACAGAATTCTGGCAAAAGGATTACAGGGTCCCAAATACCTTTCTCTTCCTGGTTTTTTAAAAGTAATCCTTATTTTTAGTTCATAGCTGAGTCCCATTTTTCCATTTATCAAGAATCTATGCATGATTTTGAAAAGCATTTGTTTTGTTTTATGTTAATTCAGGAAAGTTGTATTAAACAAAAATTTTTTTTTAAAGAAGATAGCCTAATTGATTAAAATTGAAAGCCCCAGGGCTAGGCACACCCCCTTGTTTTTTAAAATCAATTCCCCCTTGAAATAAAATGTGCTCACCCCCTTCCTAGCAAAACTATAGCTTTTCAAATGTCTCTTTGCCTTTCAGGAGACACACAAGTAGCAAATGAAAATTAGTTTCTGAACTTTTTTTTTAACCTATGACACAGGTTAAATGCATTTTCCCCCTCTCAGGGTTTTAATAAAATTAAAGTTAGTATGTTTTTTGTTTTGTTTTGGGTTTTGTTTTGTTTTTTGGTTTTGTTTTTGCTTTTTTGAAATAAAACTTCACAGAAGGGCCAAAGGAAGGAGACTTAAGAGCAGTGAGCAATGGACTCCATTGTCTATGGGCCTCCCAGCAACACATGGGATCTGGTCCTGACACCCACCTTGGCAAGTTCTTTAGTGCACTGGATGGAATGCGGCCTTTGTTGGCACCACATCCCTAGGCTGACCTCTGGACCCCTGACCTAGGATCAAGCTCTCTAGAAGGAATGAGAAGAAAATGGGTCTGGTCTTTCTTTTGTAATTTCAGATGAAGACTCTTTGAGGTCTTTATGCAGCTTAAGAATACTAGTGGGTAGTCTACAAAGCTGGCTGGGGAGGGGGTGGGTGGGTGTTAGTTAGTTTCCAAAGAAGAGGACTTTTTCTTAATTCTCCAAAAGAAGAGCCAGATCCTGAAGGAAGCTTCTTATTGGCTGCAAGTCCAGTGTGTTTCCAGTGCCAGAGCTCCTAAATGTTGAGTTTACAACTTCTTTTCCCCCTTTATTCCAAGTGAGGTTTTATTTTTTGTATGTTCTCAATGAGAGATTAACTCAAGCCTAGGCACCCTGTGCTTCCAGCTTCTACATTTCATAGTTCCCTCTTTGTACAGGATTTGCAAACACAAGTCAACTCACGCAATAGACACATGATACCTTGCCAAATTTAGGATTATATGGTAATGTGGCAGAAGAGGAAGACAAAGGCCCGAGAGGGTCACTTTTTCCCCCTATCCTGAACAAGTACCATCTCTCATTCCTGCTCACCCTTCCACCCCACCCTCCTGTCATTAGCGACCTGTGTATAAATTAATTCAGTACTGTTACTTAGCACAGGGGTCAGAATGTGGTTATTTTACATGCAAAAAAAGTGTCTTTAGTTTCCCTCCCAATAACCAGATCACTGCTGAAGCAGACCAGCTGGTGGGACAGGAAGAGGACAAGACTCCCCAAGAAAGAGGTAAGGACACCCCCCTCCCATGTTAACTTTTCAATTATTGTCAACTATCGCAGGCTTGAATGCTTTGGTCTCTGACAAGTTAGAATTATTGGAAGTGTTTTGCATGTGCCACAGTGGAAGCTGTAACCAAGGAGGAGCATCAGGCAAGTGATTTGTGACAGAGCAACGAACACTGAGGAAGTGTGCTTCTGTTGTACTTAGAGGTAAAATCCCAGAATGCATTGCAGAGTGATCCATTAAAACTCAGGAGAACTCAGGAGTATTTTGACTTGAAGAGTCCTGCCCACCAAACCCAAACATTGCACCTTACTAAATTTTAATAATTCAATTTGGGACGAGGAGAGAGGTATCAAAAGAATATAAATTGTTATATAATTTAAATTTTGATGTCAGTCAGCGTTTTTGACACCGTCACACACATTTTGTGTGGGGGACAGATTAAGTGCTTGAGAATTCATCTAAAGAGTCGATACGCACGCAAAGGAAAAAGCTCATGTACCTACCTTCTCAGGAGTGTCACGGTCGAGCTTGCTCACTGCCACTGCTGAGGGAGTGTGACTTCCGAAGATGGCATCAGAACAGTCAGCTGGAGCCTCTCTCCTGACTTGCTGACTCTGGCCTGTCCCTTCTGTCTAAAGATCTGACTACCTCTCTCCCGTTCCCTAAGTGAGCAGTTTGCCCTCCCGTCAAACTGGTCGCTAATGTGTAAACAACTATGAAGACATTCTTACAGGTAACCCACACACAGGTAAGTCCAAAACTGGATTTTCTTTAAACAAATGTCAACAGTAATGGTCACAATGACACACAAAACCCAGAGCTAGGCACTGATATGAGTCTGGGACCCCAGAGCGGCAAAGTAAATGGGAGCAAGTGTCCTGCAGCTTACCTGGTGGACATGTGGAGTCTCCTAGGCACCTGAGACTCATCTCTCAGGTCTGAACCCTAGCTCCGAAGGCAGTAAAAGTCGCTTACCAGTCTTATTGGTACCAAACAAAACAGAAATGACTTCCCCTTACCCCTCAAAGGATAAAGGGTCAAGAGAGTAGCTGGCATTACTGGGGTACATAGGTGCCGAGGATCATTCAAACACATCCTTTCAAAACAGCACTGTCTTCAATCTATAATTATATCTATAATTATATCTATAATTATATATGGTTAGCCCATGTGTCCAAAGGGCTAGGACCAAAGCTCATAGGGTTACTTCTTAGGAAAGGCAGAGCTGATTTGCAATCAGTCCCTTAAGCTGTTGTTTGTTGTTGCTGTTATTGTTTTTAGCATGTGTGGGAAGTGTACGTCTTAACTCCTTGCATTTGCACTTTGAATGGCTCTACTGGGCCCAGTGTATTCTCACATAGCTTATCAATAAAATCACAGGTGTCATGCAGGGGCCTCCTGCCCACTATCCCCTCAAATAAGAATTTTTCAGTGGCTGGCTTTAGAAAAGTCCAGAGACAGTAAATATGGGTTGATATTTCCGGCGGCCACTAGATGGTGAGACAGTACAGGCAAAAGAAGGTGGTGGGTCTATACTGCGAGTGAGAAAGGACAGGGGAGCCAGCAAGGTGGGGAGGACCCTGCTTTACTTTCATACTGCCCCCACCCCAAAGATGAGGCCCATAGGGACCCCAAAAGTTTAGTCAGACCCACATTTTTTGTATTTTAAGCAGTGACTTACTCTTTTAAGCTATGCACTGAGATTTCAGGAACATTTAAAGGGGATTTGTTAACTGAGGGGTCCTCTGAGCAACTCAGTTAACATTTTGCCATGACAGGGGCCCCATTCTGTGCACTGTAGGATGTTTCTGAGCATCTCTGATATCTAACATCACACACATGCACTATCACCATCACTACCACCAGTCACTACACACATTCCACACACACACACACACCTCACTGCTACCAGCACAATACCTTACTACCACCACCACACACAGAGATGCCCCACTACTACCAACACACACACACACACACACACACACACACACCCTATCACCACCACCACCTACAGCCACTACTACACACATTCCACACACTATACTCCATTGCTATCAACAGAACACCTCATTACCACCTCCACACACAGATATTCCACTATTATCAACACACACACACACACTCACACACACACTCACACACACTACTACCACCACCTCCCCACACATAAGTATGAAAACCTAGAACTCTCCAGTCACTACCAAATGTCACTCAAGGTTGAGAGCTGCTGCTTAGACATCCATGCCTAATCCTGGGAAAGCTAGACATATACATGGCATAACTTGGACACCTACAAACAAATCCTCTGAAGAAAAGTTCCCCCTGTACTAACCAGTCAGCAATGTGCAAACTAATTCTGGTGGCCTGCATTGTTGGATAGAAGCAGTTTCCACAAATCTCCCAAGAATGACCCCTAGATGACCCTGAAGAGAAGAGAAGAGGGAATTATTCCAGGCAAACAAACAAGGAATTGGTCTAGGACTCTGATAACCCATGGGCAGCCAGTACCAGGGCATGCATAGACTTTTAACCCTTAACCATCACACATAGGGTTCTTTGGCATCATGTCAGCCTGACTACCTCTGTCTGGTGTGCACTGGTAAATTCTCTTAAAGATCTTCTAGAAAGAAAACAATGATGCCAATAGAAGAAACTGACCAAAGACATTTCCTGGTAAAACATATTGTACTTGGTCTTTGATAAAACTGTTGATACCTCTCCATCTACAAGTAGCATCTATACCCATATCTACCTAATAGAATGAGGGTCAGTTGTCACTTTATTTGACCCGACTCACCAACATGCACCTTGCCTCTCTCTCTTTGGCAGCTGGTGATTGAATCCAGGGTTTCATGCCATGTTGTCTCTGGATTGCACTCCCAACTTAACACTTTTTAAAAACAAAGACTTCTCCCTCCTTTTTTCCCCTCTTAAAGAACCTAAGATTTTCATACCTCAAAGTTAGCTAGCTGGGTAAGGGTCATCGGTGAAAACAGATTGGTGGTTGGAGCAGTTAGATGCTGGCCGTGTAAGGTGGGAAAGTATCATCTGAAATCGAAACTTTCTGCAGACGCCTGAGTGTTCCAGGTTCTGCTAACTGAAGTGCCCCTAACCAGGAAAAACTTCTCACTGCCTAATCCTAGAAGTGACTCAGGGAAAAACCTCAGAATGTTGATTTTGAGATTTTGCCTGGGACCAAGTACAACATCTTTCCAAGGAAATGCTTAGAAGACTCAGGGCAGAACCCAAAATCCAATGCCAGACGTTAGGGGGAAATTTTTAAAGTTGGGGAGCCAAAAAACTCTGGGCTATTTATACTTTAGCAGTCACGTGACTTCATTTTCTTTCCTTTTAGCCATTAGAAGGAAAACACAACCATTTTGTTTTGTCAAACAGATATGCAAGTGAGGATTTAAGACGAACACTTAAGAGGGATCCCTCTTTCTAGGGGGATATTTGGAAATTTTCCAATGAGACTCCATGTTGTCACATTCCCCATGTTGTCTCAATGGAGAAGAGAGTATGATAATTGGGGGGAGGGATGGTGGGCAGAGAAGCTCCAACTTTTGAAGAGGGTCCTGGGATGATGGAGAGAGCACTGGCTTAGGCATAGGGGGTGGGGGGCGGTTCCTGGGACCTTCGTTGATTCTCTGGCACTTGATTTTAGGATTCCATGTACTTGCCAAGTGTTAGAAAAGCTAACAACAAGGCTTCAAGTTGACCTGAAGTTCTGCCATGGTCAAAGAGGGACCAAATTTGATGAGTTGTTTCAGAGGAAGGCCAGAAACTTCCCATGTCCACCTTGATGTATATAAAATATCACAAAGGTGGGAAAGCGGGGTACAGACCAGAAACTCATACTTATGCAGCAGACAAATCTAATGCTTGTAGTCAAGGCTCACCCCAAAACTCAAGGTAATAGGAAGCAAACACCTTCATCCCAGACTCTGGTGAGATCACATGTTAAGGAGGCTCCCAGTGGGGAGTGGGATTTCCAGGGAAGAGAAGTAAAGGCCAGCATGGCTGCCTTAGGTAGAGAAGGGAGCCCATCTCATTTGCACCTGAAGTTCACAGAGCTCAGAATCCAGGGAAGGAAATAAAACCTAAGGAACTTTGCCTGTCTGCCCTCTTCCCATTCTCTCTCCCTCTCTTTTTATTTCCCTACTTTATTTTTCTTTCTATTTTCAGATTTTTTTTTTTAAAGTAGGATCTTTTGTGTAGGGGGGCCATTCCTGAGCCAGAATTTATAAAATACACATTTATTTTAAAAGAAAGAAAGGAGAACACCCACTATTTAGGGCTGGGAAGTAGAAAAAAGTTAACAAAGCAAAGCTGTTCAGAACTGGCTGGCAGATGGCGCTCGGCTTTTACAATTGAGAGCCTGGCTTCATAAAACCTGCGCCTGCGCCTGCCTCAGGCGGCACTGTGAGGGCCCCTCCCTTCACCTTCCCAGGAATGCAGTCCCGCCCCAGGCCTAGGAATATATATTTTTTTAAGGTTTTCAGTTCAGCAATTGATATCTGGGGACAAGTCTCCACTTTGGGAGCTTTGTAGACCTTAGGCAGATCAGAAAGATAAAAGACAGTGGGGTGCAAACAGGCAGCCTCCACTTTCCAGGGCTTTGATCTCTTCATTGACAGTGCAGAGCCCTTGTTCTGCCAGGAGCCAGTTCTGAGACCCTGGGCCCATCTTTTTGCCCCTTTGGATCCCAGTTTTCTTCCTCTGGGAAAAAAGGGGGGGTCTTTCTCACTTTAGAATTTTTTAATTCTCTTAAGAAATGTTTAAGGTAGAAGAGGTTTGTCAGTACCTCTAGGCATCACACACATGCACTTTTGAATGTGTCCTTACCAAAATGGCAAATGGTGTAGGAAAAACATCTTAGACCACCTTTTGTCCTTTAACAAATGACTAATTATTTCTGGGTCCCCACACCTGGGAACCACCCGTGTAGCAGCAGAGTTCAGAAGTTCTTCCTTTACCATCCAGTTGAAGGCTAGGAAAGATACAGACATAGGCTTCTAGGAGAAATCCAAGGAGCCTCCCTGGAGGAAAGGACACTTTAGTCACTGTGGTCCCTGGTTTCCAAGGACAGTACCTTTGCACTTACTTTGATGCTGCTGTCCTGTTTGCTCCACAGCAGCTGACGAAGGCCACATGGACTTCCCAGGCAGGGGCCACAGGCTTCTCCGCTAAGAACTTACCCCTTCCCCACTAAGGCTGGCCTTAGTGCTCCATCCTGATCGGCTTCCTCCTCTATTGCTTTCTAAAATGCAACAGTCAGAGGAACAAAATAAAAAGTATTAATTGAGGCAAACATTTCCCCTTCTCTGCTACTCAAAATTGTCTTTTCAAACTTTACTATTGCATTCTTCCCTCTTGCCCGGTGTTTCTTTTCTTTTCCTTTAGATTTTAAAGACTTTTCCTCATCCCTTACCCCTGTCCCCAGGACTTCTGATACGAGACCCTCAAGGTCGGCAGTGGGCTGTTAGCACCACCCCTCCCTGAGTTTTAGAGTAGCTATGGCTTTAGGTGAGCAGCCCCCTTCTAGCACTTTCTTTGGGCCAGCAGAGTTCCTACCCACCAGAGGTCAGCAAAGAGCTCTGAATAGCTGGGTCTGCTTGCGAATGTGGGACCTGGTAGAATTCTCGAGATCAAACGTAGAAAACAGCCCCACATTTCAAGGGTGTCCTTGGGTGGAGTGCCATCCTGTCTTGGGTCCCTGGGGGCTTAGTTTGAACACCATTGGAGCCACTCTGTGCTTTGGAGGGGGGCATCGTTTTTTTGTTTTTTTTTCTGTTGTTATTTGATGAGTTTCTTTTGCAGCACCACTCCAAACACACAAATTCTCCCCTTATCAGGGACCGCAACCTCCTAGAGCCCTGAGGCTGTTTTCGGGACAGAATGCCCACTTGCACACTTGCACGTCCCCCAAGACTGAAAACCCACCTCCCCGCCCCCACGCTTGGCCTGGCCCCTTTTCTTTAGGTGTGTTCCCACCCCACCCCTTATCCTACTTCGATTTTATTTCTTATCTCTGGCTCCTCCCCCAGATATGCAGCTAGTGTTTTCAGGGGTTTGATTTGGCTGCCCCTACCCAAGCACACAAAGAGGCCAGTTCCCACATTCTGTCATTTCTCCACAGATCCTTGACTTAATTTAGCCTTTCACTCCGGTAGGGAAGGGGGGAAAGAACAGGGATTCCTCTCACCTCCTCGCTTCTCTCTCTCTTTCCCGAGCATTTTAAGTCCCAGGGTCCTTGAGAACCACTTGTAAGTTAAGATCAACTCCTAGGCCAGTTCTTTATTGTTGGGGGTGAGACAAAAAGAAGGAGAGAGAGAGGTACAAAGGGAGAGAGAAAAATAAGCGCAGAAATGAAATAAGAAAACCAAAGGCAAGGCAAGGGATAGAAAAAGAAAATAGAAGGGTTTTAAGTAATAATAGCTGGAGGTGGAGAAGGAGGGGGGAGGAGGGGGAGGAGAAAGAGGAGGAGGAGGGGGAGGAGGGGGAGAGGAGGACGAGGGGGAGGAGGGGGAGGAGGAGGAGGGGGGGGGAGGAGGGAAGGGAAGCTCAGGAGTGTGGCCAGACTTTAGGATCCACTTGGGAAAGCAGGGGACCAGGAGGCTGCTAGAAGAGGCAGGATGGAGCCACCATGGTCCTCTAAGATCTGGCCTTGGCTTCTCCTTCCCAACAGGCCCCATTTGCTTTCTTCAAAGTTTCTTACCTGAACTGAAATGATTTTCTTTAATTTTGAAGTTAGGATTACCCCTCCTACACCCCTCCCACCACAATTTGATTTTCCAAGAGTTTCCACATGCTTTACCCACTCAGTGGTTTTGTTTTATTTTGTTTTAAGCAATCTGGCACACCGCAGACCTTTTTGTCAAAAGCAGAAAAACAAAACAAAACAAACAAACAAAAAAAACCCACCCTATCTTTGTGAGTCCTTTGATTTAATAATTACCCAGAACAAAGCCAGGGCAAACCTAAGGTTAAACACGAACACTTTGTACATTAAGTATACATTTCAGAAATCAAGGAAATCCTGAGAGGTTTACAGGTTGATATCCTCAAGAACTTGGCTCCAGCTAGGTCCCATATAGGCATTGTTATCTACCTTTTCTCCCCTTCCTTCCTCCCTTCCGTTCTTTCTTCCACCCCACCACCCCGCTTTGAAAAACAACTTTTATTCTCTTGGGGTACCTTCAGTTGAGAGGGAAAAGAATTCTCTCCAGTGAGGAAGAGTAAGGGGGGAGCAGGAGGGGGGTAGGTTACGCCAGAGGAGACAGGACCAGATTGATGGCTGTGTGCTGGGGTCAGGGCACAGGCTGGGAGACACCATAGTCGGACACAAGTCAAGAGGACACAGCTTTAGCTTCCTGGCTGCAGGGGGGAAAAGATTCCGTCAGCTGCCTCTCTGTCCTGCGCTTTATTCACTAGGCCAAGTCTAAAAAAAAAACCAAAAAATCAAAAATCCTACACAAATCCTGTCCCAGCTGGTCGTGCTAGGCCCCTGTTCTTCTACATTTGGGCCTTTAGATTGAAGCAGAGCTATGGAGAGGGAGGGACTCCCAGGCTAACTCTGCTGAGCTCCTTCTCACGGTTCAGATCCCCCCACCAGGAAAAGTTCTTGATCCTCCCCAACGAGTGCCAAGAGTTAGAAATGTGTTGCTAATTGATTTGAGCTGAATTTGTATTGCTTTGAGACTTAACAAAATGGCTTGGGGTGGGGTGGGGGGGTGCACAATTGCTGTTCTAATAGCCCAGAGAAGGAACTCACCACAAGTATGCTCATACAATGAGCCTTCTGTGACATTTTAGAATCACTGGAGTGGGGGGTGTCACAGTGGTTCTTTAGGAAGGAAAGAAGGAAGATTGGTGGGAAGCGTTGAATGGAAATTTAGCATAAAATTGACACGCCTGGTTTAGGAAGGGAGTCGCTTCAGCATGGTTCCAAATGAAAACAGCTGTCACAAGTTAATTTTTCACGTTTTTGACCATTGGCAGAGCCCAGGTTTACTCATATGAAGACTATGTTCACCTTGGCAAAGAACATGGGAAACTATCTAGTCTGCTATACGCATGAACCCATTTTCTCTCATTGATAAATTGCCCCCAAATTTCCAGTCAACTTGTATGTCAAATGTTGTTCCCTTTCTGCTCATCTAGTAGCCTTACTATGCACGCAGTAGCTGCCCATGTGTCTACCACGCCTCTCAAGAGGATGAATCCTTCCCGGGTCGGTGAGTCTGCCTTGATTTGGGCATTTTTATTCATTCATTCATTCAATCATTCAATAGACATACAATGAAAGCTTGATATGTGCCCTTCCCTGTGGGGAAGTCAGTCATCTAAGGCATGGTTGCTCCCCTTAATGGCCCTGTGATTAAAAACAGACACAGGAATTGGACAATGGAGGTAATTTCTGTGAAGGCATTCTGCAAGAATAGATGCAGCTGCTCACAGATGAGGAACTCATCCAAAGAGGAGAGATAACTAAACTGTAGAAAACCCAGAAGAATTTGTCTTCTTGGGTCAAAATAAACATCTGCATCTAGACATTCACAGCACAACCAACCATTCATATTTCCATGCCAACTTGAGGCTGAGGATTTATGTGTGGGCAGTTGCGACTGAAGCGCCTGTTGTCACAGGGTAAACCTTAGTGTTGATACCTTGTCCATCACAGTACCAGAAGAGGTCTTTTGGTAGGAGGTGAAGGCTAGAGAGTCACAGCCATGCTGAGGGTGTAGGCTTAGGTCCAGAAGGTGCTAGGTCATGTATGGTACTAAATACTACCTTTAGCCAGCTCTCACTTTAAATTTCTGCTTGATGTGGACCAAAGTATACCTTTCAGGGTGGAAATTCTCTCAGGGAGTGGACTCAAAATTCTTCCACTCAACCTTAAAATATTCTGTCTGTGTTAAAGAGTGCTATTTAGCTGTTAGGATGGGGAAATAGTTATGATTTGTAGCCAGAGATTCTAGAGTATTTTCATACTGGTCACAACCCTCTGTCCTCTATTTTATTTAAAATCCTCCATCTTAATCCTGGCCTGTCCTCCATCTTAGCTCTGATCCACCTTCTTACATCCTGGCCTGTCCACCATGTTAGGTCTGATCCACCATTTTAGATTCTGTCTGCCCTCCATCTTAGCTGTGATCCACCATTTTAGATCCTGGCCTGCCCTCCATCTTAGCTGTGATCCACCATTTTAGATCCTGGCCTCCATTTTAGCTCCAGCTCTCCGTCTTAGAGCCTGGACTTAAGGCCTATTTCCCCTGGTCTCTAAAACAGATAGAAAGTCTATATTCAAATACTGTCATTAATTCTGTAGAATGAAGAATATCTAGAATTTGTTTTCAGCTTTTCTTTCACAAACACTTATAGGATAGCTACATATCTCCCTTGGAATAGTATATCTTAATCTATAGGTCTCTAATGTTCAGCCTGGGTAGGCTACATATATACATATATGCATCTTTAAAACATATATGTATGCATATAGTTTGTTTTTATTAGAAATAAGCAAGTTTTTATGGATAACTGAACTGAAGGAATTCTTTAAAGAATTTTCTATAATAAACAAAATTCAGGTTTATGAAATTCTAAACTTTGATTTCTCTTTTTAAATCTCCATACTTCAAAGAGAACTGAAACAGGGATTCCTGGATTTCTCATTCTGGGTGTTCAGGGATGAGCTCACAGTGAATTTGAGAGGTGGGGATTTGGCCCAGGCCTCCTTACAGACCTACAGGTGGCTGTGTTCTGTCCAGTTAATCCCATTAGCTGCCAAAGGCTTATAAGGTTACTGTTTAGGGACATTTGCATCTTAATAAAGAGTTCTGTGAGGCCACAATGAGGAAAGAGTCACATTTTTAATAATGAAGTCCCTACCACTCGGAAAGGGCACTGAGGAGGACAGGGAGGCCAATTTCGGCCATCATTACCTGTTTACCTAACTCTCACTCTTCCCTGCTGGGGACCGCAACTGCCCAGCAGCCTCCAGTGCAGCAAACAGGTTTTCCTGTCTCCTGTGAGCCCAGGATGTGGAAACCCCTGTACCCCCATACCTCCAGGGCAGTATGGTATATTGGTAGTGTAGTTACTTTGCTTTCTTTAAACGAGAAATAGAAGGTGCAGGGCATAGAGAGAGGAACAAGAAAGGAGACTGGGCCAGGAAACAAGTCACAAAACAGCCTCATTGTTGGCACGCTTCGTGACTGGCCTCCTGGCTGTGTGGTTACAGCCGGAGGACAACCTGGT